CCCAACTTTTTTCCTCTTTTTGTTCTATATACTCATGTGACCTAACTAAAAGCCAAAATACTCTCACTTTCTTCTTCTCTTTGCGCTGCACGGGTCTTCCTCTTTTTTCTTCCTTTATTTTGCACCAATCGATTTACCTATTTAATCTCAAGTGCTACCACCTTATCGTATCGTCGATCGTCATTTTTCGTGCGCTAGTTATTTTTACTCGTCCGCCACCTCCTTTCATTATCGATATCTCCCCTATACTCACAATGGTATGAACGCGCAGCCAAATGAACCAAGGAGCACCACCACCGGTCACCATTGGAGGACGTCGTCACCACACCACCTAGACTTTCATTCACGTTCTAAGTAACTCTGACTCACTGTCTGCGCCTCCTCATGCTCGTCGTGGTAGGCGACGATCGCAAAAGACTCGAATGAGAGCCCCGCCACCAACGCACGAGCTCGCCACCATTTCTCTATCCGTTGGCTTGTCGGCTCCCTACAATCATCACACTATCGATCCAAGCAACCCATGACCAACCAGACTATCCTCCATGACCACCTCGACGTTCTACTCTATGTCGTCAGGTTGTACTTTCTAGTCTATATCGGATGTCACACGACCATCGTTTGTTGTCCCTGAGCAGCCTAAGGTAAACTCTTCCCCTCTGGAACTTGAAACTTTACTGATGTGGCATCTTTTTTTTCGTTACACAGAGCACTTTGAACAAGAATTTCTCATTCCACCAGCTGCTGCAGAAGCTTCTTCCTCTCGTCGGCATGTTGCACCACCACCATCTCCTTTATTTGCTGCAAGCTTTGCAGTCGATTCTGGTGAGCATTCTACTCACGGGACTGATGCTGATAATGACGATTCTTCTGAACGACACCGTAGGGGCCAAACTTATTTGGTTTCAATTGAAGAAATTCTTCAGGGGTATTTACAATTTGATGATGATGAGTCTTGGAGGTTTGACAACATTCGACATCATCGGTTTCAGGTTTACAAATATATTCTTTTCCGTACTCTTGATACTTTACATTTGCGAGAATCTGTCTCCAATTATTTTGCTGTCATTGGTTGGGAATTGTATCCTGAAATTTGGTGTAGCACGTACTATGAGTTGATATTCGAATTTTATGCTACATTTACCTTTTTATAGCATCGAGTCGTTTCTATTGACTTTCCTGATGTTATTTCCTTTCGATTGCTTGGCCATTATTTTAGAATGTCTCTGAATGATTTCACTTTTTCTATGGGATTCATGACGTATGTCACGGATCATGGCTATCTGACTGCTTTACTTGAGATGCCTCAGGATTTCGACACGGACATAGCTTATGAGGCACTCACAGGTTCGACGGGAGTTCAATATAATGCACACACTACTAAAGCGTGACACATTCATGATCCTGCTCTTCACTACATCCACCGGTTTTTAGCATATAATTATTTCGAACGTAATGATACTACGTCCGCGCTAAGTAATGTTGAATTGTTCTTTTTATGGTGTATGCAAATCGATACTAAGGTAAATTTGGGTTTTTGGTTCGCCTGCGCCATTGAGCGTGTTGTGCGATCCGATCGCCCTCTTATTCTCGGGCCTTATATTACTTACCTTTTATCTCGTTTGTTTCCATTGAAGTTTGATACTGCCTAGTTTACTTATGCTTTTTAATTGATGCTTTAAATGCTAGGTGTTTGGATACTATGTGCCTCATTGCTAACATCCCCTACGTTCCTCACATAGTTCCTCCAGTCACTATTACACCTCGCAATCAACGAGTTTTTCTCCGGAGGACTGCTCCGCAGCCACCACCGACTGAACAACCGCACACTGAGATCCATGAGGTTCATGGACGCCTCGATTCCATTGAGGCTAACTTAGCTGAGATCATGTCCTATCTTCGACCGAGTTCGTCTCGCCACGGTCACGACCGCCATTAAACCAGGGGAGTAATTTTATTCCCTGTTTTGTGATTTTCTATTAATATTAGAACAATATGGTCTAAGTGAAGGGGTAGAATTTGCTATCAAAATTTTTGCTTGCTTGTTTGTTTGGTTGGAATTAAGTTATTCTGATATTGATGTGTTGGAATCTTTAGTTTCTTATCTTGAAATTCACTTTATAATATTGCTTCCTTTTGGATTGTGACCATGCTTTGATCGAATTTAATTTACATGATTTTCATTGGCATATGTGGTGATTTTATGCTATGTATTGATATTTCATGCATTTTGTTGATTAAGATAAACTTGACTCAGTATATATAAACATTTCTTGTGAGATTTGAGTCTAACAAGCATATATTTTCTTTTTTGCTCATTGTTTGACTGAGTGTGTAGGACTAATTATGATATTCTAAAACTCGTAATCTTAATACATATCGAGACTACATGTTGGACATAATATTTTAATGTGATAGGGGCACTTAGGATTAAACCCACTTATTATCAAAAAGCCTGCCCGTTTATATATCCATCAGTGAACCACTTTTTGAGCTTTTATCAATTTTCTTTATTTTTATTACATATTTAAACCCAAACCTTTATTTTTATCCCTATTTTCTACCCATATTAAGACAAGTATATTAGTTGTTTTCATTTATGTATGTTCCTTATTTAATTATTTTGCAATTTTTTTCTTTTTCAAAAAAATTGGTTCGAACAATTACAGCAGTACATTGCATAAAACAACAAAAGAAAAAAACCATAAAAGAGAGAGAGAAAAAAGCAAAAGCCAAAAAAAACGGAAAAATGGTGATTTATGTTTATTAGTTTACTTTCATGAAGTTAGGAACTATTTGTAAATCTTTTGTCTTGATATTTAAACCGATCATTATGGCATTTTCCCTACCCTAACCTAAGCCCCATTACACCTTGATTTAAAGACCCCTTGATTATTGCATTATGTTCACTTTTAGTAGTGAGACTTGATTGGATTCCAAGTCTATGATAATATCTTGGTTAGTTTCAGTTTGAGCGATTTAATTTTACCCTAAACACTTTGAGTGAATATGTGTGATTCGTTGTGAGGTATTGAGTCATGTTTCATTAAAGTAGGTAAATAATTGGGATATCTTGCTTGTTTTAAAATTCTTCTTAGTTGTGTTTTTGCTTGATTGTATCTTGAATTCGGCAATTGTCATGGACTTAGTTCGATTAGAAGTTTAAGGAATAAAGTGAAATTGAAGATGGCAACTTGCTATTATGATATGTGGTTTATTTAGTTATTATTTTTCCTTTAAATTGCTCCTTAGTTATTGGTTTTTGTGTCTGATTTGTTCGTTTTGATTCATTTTCTTTACATGACATTAGATTCTGGAAATTGCATTAAAGGACATAATTATACAGTTTTTTTATTTTTATTTTTTGAATCAAGTAGTGGGCATGACTATGGGCATGACGCATCTGACGTGGCGTTAAGTCAGCACCTTCCAGAAGGTCCAGTCAGCGCTTCTAGAAGGAAGAATGGATCTTCCACGCTATTTGAAATTCGGATTCAAATTAATCTCATGTTTTTAGGATTTTAGTTTAAATATTTTAAGAATTATCATAAGAAATTATCTCTTATTTTTAAGAATTATCTTTTTTGTTTTTAGGTTTTTGAAGGCTATAAATACTTTCTTAGGGTAAGCCTAAAAATTCATTCAGAATTCATTTTTCTTATTCTTCTTCTGGTTTTATAATTTTTTTTAAAAAGTTTTCTTTGTTTTTATTTTTATTTTTAAAGATGCTAAGTATGATTGTCATACTTCGCTAGTTTCCCATAAGCCAATGGCTAAAGCGATGACTCAATTCCAATTGTGAGGATTGAAAATCACTTAAAATACCTTCGAGTTATTTTCTTAATTTTCTGGAGAAATAGGATAGGTAGTCGACCTATCCTTTAAAATCAAAATGCTTTTAAATCAAAAAGAGCTTGTTGGTTTGGATGTTGTTATGGTTTAAAGTTGAGAGGAATAATCAACTGGTATCAAGTTCGACTTCCTGTGAACACACTTAGCGGCGATCCGTTAAGGGAAATTGAGATCGGGCTCGATTCTCATTGAGACAACATAGTCAGAGTCGGGTTTTTTTAAAAGCTTTTAAAACTGATTTGGTGCTGACGACGATAGTCGTAGTTAGTCCACATAAGGACTGGAATTCAAAGATAGCTTTTGGATTTTTGGTTTACAAGAGAGAAAAACAAGTTATAAGAGTTAGGCCCTGTAGACTGTAACCGATATATATTCGAAGTAAAAATCTATTCCGATGATCAGATGGAATTGAGGCAAAGCTGAAGCCTGAGGTTTTTTACAATAAATTTTCTTATCTCGATTTATTTTAAATTTATTTAATTATTTATTTACTTTATCTTTATCCTCAATTATTTTTAAACAATTTAAATCTCTTTTTTCCTCTCATCCCCATCTTATCTTCCCTTCTATCCAAATCCCTGTCATTTTTCATCTTTATCCAGATTTAAAATCGAAAAGTCCACAACTTCAGAAATTCCAAAGTCCCTGTGGACCGACTCTGCTTCTCTTTACTACTCTTTTATTTTATTTATTTATTTATTTTTGAGAAAAAAAGAATTATTTGACAGTAACACGACACCTGTTAGTCGTGCAAGGTATGTATGCAGACATTTATGTGCACAACGACGGAGTTAAAGTGCAGAGAGCATGTCCAAGCAAAGCATCTGAAATCCAATGTGTATGTCTGCTTCCCTCATCTCAACAAGTGGTGTGGTTGAAGAAAGAAAATGTTATATTTATAAATATTATATAATTGTTTAGAATATCATTTCCTTGTCATGTAAAACATCAGCTATAAATATAATGCGTGCATCAGAGTGAGGAGTTGGATGCTTCTTAATGTTACATTAAACAGTATTTTTAAGCTTGACCAAATCAAAAAGAAAATAAAGGTATATTTATCCTTTTACTTGAAAAGGATTGATTGATTAGAAAATGAAAAATCAAGTCAATGTATATGGTAATGGGATTTGCTTGTCAAATAAGTGATCTTTACATAAAGACTCCATCACCCATTTTTACTTTAGAAAAGAAAAATACCAGACAGACTAACCTTACCCTTCCTCACAGACATCAATCTAAAATCTAATCATATGGACCTAGTAGATTTTCATTTGTTTTTTTTTCAAGTAATATTCATACTTAGAACTTGGAAAAGCCAAGGGGGCTGATTTAATCTGTCTTGTCTGAGTTGTTGTTCGAGATCAACGTTGTTTTTACTTCCATTTTGATACCCCAATGTCGTGTCGGTAACCTGGAGGAGTCTCAGCTCACGACCAATGAATTCCTCTCTTGCTGTGTTTGCCTTCCGTTTGGTTGTCGCCATGGAACTACTCGGCCTGCTGTTGTTGATCATATGGCAGGACTCGGTCGAAGATGAAGATAAGCTGTTGGGTCCAGAATCCGAGGTTAAAGTGGGAGTACCATGTTTCTTCCTCGACACGTACTTTGTGGGTCCTAAAGTCAATTCAATCTCAATTTCATCTATGATTTCATCATCGTCATCGTCACCCGCTGGATGTTCCAAGTCAAGTCTGGTTCTTGAACTCTGATTATGAATATATCTTCCATTGATGGGTGTACTAGTTTCCATGCTTTTCATCAATGTCTTCTGGATTCTATATAGACGATGAAGCTCATAAACCTGGTCAAACATATCAGTGCAAGATTTTTGAAAGACATATATGAAGAGTGAAGTTTTCAAAAAGAAGAAATTCTGAGAAATTAATGTACCTGTTGTTTGAATGTTTCTTCATGTTTTAAGATCGCAATCCTCATAAACTCCTTATCGTACGGTCTAAGAATCTTCTCCATTGTTTGCTTGTTCAAAATCCCAAGAAGAAAAAAAAGAATATCAAGGGATAGATAAACAGGGTTGAATTTGGTGGCGATATGATGCCTTTCTTTCCAAGTAATTCTGCTTAGAAAAAGTAGATTACTTTACAATATCTACACTTGATGCTCAATCAACTCTGAGTATTTCCACCTGTAAAACAAGACAAATTCAAAGAAAAAGATGAGAAGAAAAGCTGATAAATAGGGCAATAATGTATGAACCCGTAAGGCGGCACTTAGTCCGTTGATTTATGGGTCATAGATTGAAATCTAGTATATGTTTTCATTATTATTAGATAAGAAAGAAGCTACTTTTAGCATGATTGTCTGGTTGTTCCACCATTCATAAACTTCCAATACAAAAAATATCTTCCATGATGAATGGAGACTATATATATCTACATCACATGTGGTTTCAATGCTCTTTGTCTTCCTGACTATGATGACATAACCATTATCATAAAACAAAAACAAAAACAAATAAACATCTAAACAAACTCACAATCGTTTTATTTTCTTCTTGAAATGAATTCATATGCATGCAAAAGGAAAATAAAAAGGAGCATATAATATTCTAACCTGTAAAGGATTCTTCAAGATCTTCAGCAGTATGAGAAGAAAAGGAAAAGTGAAATTGTAAGGAGAAAAGGGAGAGAAAAGTTGATATATATATAACTGCAGTTGAAACCTTAAGTTGAACAGCAGCTTGGCATCAAACCACTCCTTGAAATAGAGTATTTTATATTGATTTGAAGCAGAAGAATGTAAGATTCCTTAAGATGCAGAAACCGAGGAGATGCGAGTGTGGGGTTTGAGGCATGCCGAACAAATCCCAGTCCCTTAACCAATACCCTTCAACTTCTGTGAAAAAGATGTCTCTCACTCCTTCAGCAATGAATTTTTTATATATAAATATTGGATATAATAACACCCAAAACTCCATTTGTTTTTATATATAAATCTGGATATTCACAATCCCCAATGCCTATTGCAAGCAATACAAACATTTATTTTAATATTCGTATCTAATTTTTTGTGAAGCATAAATATCGAATATTGTCTTAGTTTTGTTAATGGATGAATCTCATGTACCAATAATTGTATATCCCTTGTAACAGTTGTCTACCATATATGTGGAGGAGGTTAAAGTGACATAAACATTTACTGGCCTGCTGACAATTCACAATATTTTTTAATTCTATATTATATCTCTCATTCAAATAAAATATTATTATTTGACAATAAACATTTATATATTTTTATAAATGTTTCAATCTAGACATCAAAAAGATAATAATTCTTTAACCACTAAAATTACTTAATTATTATCAGAAAATAATATGAAATTTTGTTTCCGTCCAATAAATAAAAATATGGTGCTGATTGGAGTTGTCCAGCCCATGATGATTGCCGTTAATTGGGCATGTGATAGGAGGATTGTTGGGAAATCAAAAAAAATCAGACGGTCCAGATCCAATATTCTCAACACAACCAATTGAAAAGAGGTACACATTAAATGTTCCTGTGAAATCTTTATATTTTGGTGGCATGATGTATATAGATCTTAATTTCAGATTCCTGGAAAATAATGCTAAATAAAATATATCTCATTATTTGTCGCTGTTATGTTGTAGCTGTACATGGTACAGACTGGAACAGTGTCCATCCAGGACCATATGAATTAAGATAAATGGATTTGCTTTTCAATAAAATATATCTCGAAACAAATCTTGAAATGTAACCCAGAAAACACCTTTCTGATTAATCCATTTTTTAAATTATTCACAACAGAAATATATTTCAATAATTTAATAAATAAAAAATAGACAAATGATAACATCATCACATGCATGTAGGGCTCAAACCTAGAGAATATGATAATGAATTGCGCAAGACAAGAAAGTTGGGTATATTAAAAGAATTGGAGGGAGTAAAGATGGAAGCAGGAGTTGCCGGAGAAGGGAGGTGCAACCGTGTTGGGTGGTGGGTCCATTGGGGTTGCTGAAACTGAGCATGTATGCCCTGGATCTTCGAGCACATTAAAAGTTGGAGTCACGAATAATAAGAAAATTAACACCTTTAGTTACAATTGGGGGGCTACCTAAGCATGCATTATGTAGTTATTAAATAATATTATTGCATAATAATAACTCATTGGATCATGAAATTTCCAACTTTTTTTAATTTAATATTTCACAAGAGAAGTGACTATGTCATGATCCCTTTTTTTTATTGTTTTAAAAAACAATAATAATTAATAAAAAACTATTTGATCAACAGCTATTGAGAAGCTCAAGAGTCACGGCCATCTAAGTTAAGTACAAATTAGATTAGAATAAAGTATTAATATAGCCATTAAAATATTAACAAAGATAATGATGAATGATGGTGGAGTATGAGAATCTAATCAATTTTTTATTGGTTTTTAATACAAAACTTCAGGGTTCATTTGGATTAAAAATAATATCATGCAAAGTCGGTTAGTGGAACAACACGCCATGCCTCACTTTAAGTAAAACAAATAAAAATCAATTACCAGTAGCTTCCACATGGGACATCTTGTCGGGAGCATTGCTCCATGCATTTTTAAGTTGCCTAAAAAAATCCTCATCTTCTCATAGTTCTGAAGTTACGATAATTAAAATACGATATGAATATATTAAATTTTATATTATTTAAGTTATTAATGTATTACGATTATTAATAATTATAAATAATATAAATATATAAAATATAAATGATCGAATCTATTTAATTCGCTTTTTTTATCTGTAAAACATACAATTATATTTGACCACCATGATTATGATCTAGGATTTAATCCGATGATTTATTAGTAGTCTACAAATACTCGGATTTAACCTTACCAAATATCGATAATGATAGCAATAACAATAATCACTCCTCCTTCTTATCGAGATATAAATTTTAATTAACAACATCCCTCCTTTCCCCAAGTATATAATAGCATGTACCATAAACGCTATAGATCCTATGACAAACCAATTGTATTCGGAACAAAATTAATAACCAAAGGCTCCTTTTATTACAATATCAAATTTTAAAAAATGCCAATTTTAATATCACACATAATGTAACACCTTCAGACCGATGCGGGTGACCCGATCCAATATGAGGTGTCACATTAAGACCATCGGAGTGACCCACAATAAAAATTCAAGAAAAATTTAAATTTTTGTTAAAACGTGTAAAATCATAAAACAAATTACAATTAAAATACAAGTTCAGAAAATCATTCATATATTACAAACAAAATTAAAATCATACAAGTTTCAGACTCAGTATATAAAAAAATCAAATGTGACCTAAATGCCCCCTAATTACACATTGTACCGTACTCTGCAAGCAAAGCCGAAGGAACTCCAAATTCTGAAGTTGATAGCTGCACTGGATCGATTCTTTTAACCTGAAATTGTGAGTAAAGAGTGAGCTTTGGGAAGCTCAGTAATACATAATTACCAGATGAATGTAATAGGCCATCGAGTATACGGTAAAGCATAAATTCCTTAGCGGGCCAGTCATCATCAGATTCTAGCGGTGAATTCATACTCCATTAGCCAAGTCTTCAGTTACAAATAGAAATTTACGATCTGAAGAAAGGATTCAGAGAGACACAGATTTAGAAGATTGAATTGAGGAGTCTAGTGTGTTCCAACAAAACAGAGAAATGTGTACAGATCCTTTAAAAACATTAGTAGCTTAAAACATATTTTAAAACCACAGTAATACCCTCCAACCGAACACCGATATACAGTTCCCCAGAATTGCATCCATAAGGACTTACCTACCCTAGGCCCATTGGGCGTAGGAGCAAACTTAAGGGAATATTTTGGGGCGTGAGAGCCTACCTAAGGGAGTTCCTTAGGGCATAAGAGCCTACCCAAGGAAGTACCTTGGGGCCTTAAAGCCTATCCAAGGAAGTACCTTGGGGCCTTAAAGCCTATCCAAGGAAATGCCTTGGGGCCTCAAAGCCTAACCAAGGTCACCTTAGGTCCGTAAGAAATTACCAACTTGATCAGAGTTGCACCTCCATACTCCAGAATCCTACCCAGATAATATCCCAATAATCGGTTCATACAGTAAATAGTAGATACCAAAATCCATAAATCATGAACGATTATATTTTCCAGTGAAAATAGGTAACCATAAAGCACATATCATGTAGCCATAGATCATAAATAGTTAACCAATACATCAGTAAATCAGAATATCGAATAGTTAAAAGATTGAGTAAATCAGTAACTTCGATAAATCACATTTCAGGACAGATAAAATAATCATATAGCACATAGGGAACACACTAGAGGATCCAATTATTTTTCAGAGGTACTTAGCAATTATCAAGCTAGGAAAACACGAAACTTCTGCCAACTGATTAGATTTCAAAAATGAGATCCCTATAAAAGGGGGTTTGATAACTAGTGAATTCATCAGTCATTCAAGAAGTGATTTATCAAGATCATATAATATTAATATATATCAGCAAGGTATTCCAGAATTATTGTATCAAAAGTTATTTAAGACTCAGACCTTCTTAAAGTGATTCCATCAATTAGGCTTATAAGGGTATTTTAGTCATTTAATTCTTGAGAAATTTGATAAATCAATTTAATAATAGTATGCAACGATTTACAGAATTTTCAGATTTCAAGCATCTTAATAGGTTTCCAATTCCAATCGCACTGTACAATTCCCAACAAACGCGACACTTATCTATTATATAAGTAGAGAAACTTCACAAATATTCATTTCTTAAAATTGGTTGCATTGCAGAATCGAACTGATCACTTTCAGAACCATCTTTAGACGGATCATGAGGAGACGAACATGTATTTAAACAATATTTATTTACTTTCTATATTGTAATAGTATTAGGGATGATCGACCTACTTAGGTCATACTCTAAAAACCTCAGGGGTGTTACAACATTTAAAGCTTCACTGATATCTTTTGAAGTTGTCCAAAAACATTTGCTTAATCTAGATTATGGGGGTATTTAAATCATTCTGGTATTCGAGGTAGATTTATTCATTCCATAGCTTAAAGTTATTCAGTCATTCTATGGCTTGGGGAGTATTTTAGGTTATTTCACACTTCAGGGGTATTTTGGTTATTCTATAGTTCAAGGGTCTTCCAGCCTTTTCCTTCTGTTTAGTCTTTCTATTTAATTCAAACTTGTGATTTATTTCAGTCATTTCAA